TGAAGTAAAATAGCATTTTTTACTTGATGATAAATAGTGCTTTCAAAATGATGAGTCATAAAGCTCTGAGCACTTAACACAGCATCATCACCAAACAATGACTCTGAATGGCAGCTGATAGAGGTGGTGAGGTGCAGGAAATCAATCTTTAGTCTTTGAACAGATGCCCTTTGCTTTCTCCGGTGGAATATGTTTTCCACTGGTTATTTTAATAGTACAATAGCAAAAATGGAGGTGGTTTATGTTTGTAAACAGTAAGTCAAAAATTCAGCATACTTTTCCTTTACACCAACAAAATTACTATAAGCAATTCTGTGTCAAAGCTGCTGTATATATGTATTTATCTTTTTAGTACAATGCAGTTAAAAGATAAATAGGATCCTCAATTATTGTCGTGATACATGTTCTTAGCGGGAACGTAATTCAAATTTCCACTGTCTTTCAAATATTTCCAAGTCTGAACTTATATGTGTCGCAACTTACATATGCAACATATTAAATATTGCATATGTTGGAAAACAGAATGTTTGTAGTCTGTAATGTTGTCTTCGTTTTCCTGGTTGTACAGACATTTAATTTCTTTTGTACCATGGCTGTCAATCCTGTATAAGAGATTAAAAACAGGAATATCTTCTTCTATTGGTTTCAGGAGAGAAACCAATAATCACTTTCACATTTCTGTTTTTTTAAATCATGTTCTTTGGGTTCTATGTCTCACAGTCAAAAGTGTTTGTTTCTTTCACAATTTTCTTAATAAATTGTGTTCCTGATCTGTTGTTTTTACCGCAAGTAAGACAATCTTTCCAAATTAAAAAAATACTCTATATACCTTTTAATAATTGCAAATTCACATCATCAGCAGAAAATCACTTCCTCCAAACACACATCCTGTCAGCTACAGAGATGATTAACTCCAGCGGCTGACAGCTTTCATGTAAACACTGTAGTTGCTCCATTTGCCATTTTGGCAGGTAGCACAGAGTCCACAATGGGAGTTGTTTACACTTTGCTCAAAAAGGAGCGGCAGCAGATAAAATTTCCCATTTTAT